ACCTCACCGGGATAATCTGGGAATTAGGGATGCGGCTTGCCTCTGCTGTGGGAGAAGGCAAACTGCTTGTAATCCCTTCAAAGTGTCTTTTCTGTCTCCTTTTCAAGAGCTTACCAGGATGCAAAGTTCGGTGTTTTCCTTCCCATTCCATTTATGCCGGCATCGCGCTACCATTCCCAGCTTTCGCGAGTGTGTGGCGTGCGTGCGAGATCTAAAAATAGGCTGACATCGAGTGTTATCGTATAATAAAATCAAGTCAGAGCTACTGTTGGCACGAAGCATCCCCTGAGCAGAGCGGAGCGAGGATCCGCAGAAGACGTTGCAGCGTCTGATGTTGTTGCCGTCGGTTCGGCACGCAGAGCACAGCTGTTACTGAAACACTTAAACACAGCTTTTGCCAAAAATATGTTCCTCTGCGTTCTCGTCAACAAAATGGGGAAAAACGCCATCCAGCGTGAAAGCAAAATGGGGCTGTAAAACATCTTCCTGCGTTAGAAAGTTTCCTTGTTGCTTTTTGCCGTGTTTTTCAAAGGGTTATTTCACTTCTTGGCCGGCACCGTACTGCGAAGAGCGGCGATTTCTGGCTGCCTCCCCCCCCACCCCCACCCCCGTGTGTGTTTGGTTCATTTCTGGGATGATGTAATTTTTAATGTCGAAGATTAAAATGAACGTGGGATGGTAACACCGAAGGCAGTTTTTTCCCCGTCGTCTCACCGTGCTTTACTAGGCTCTTGCAAATGGAAAGAAAAATGCTTCACCGGAGGTGACTTGTCGGCTTTAGTGAAAGCGCCACGTGTTTCACCAGCTCCCTTTTTTTAAATCATTTACACAGTGTGAGTAAGCACAGTTGTAACCACGTACGCGCGTGTCATACCCTAAATCTTCCGGGGGTGACACCAGGAACGTTTGATTGTGGTGTCAGGATGGGATCAAATGCTTAAAATACCTTCGGGGGAAGAGGATCGCAGCGGGGCTTGCTTGAAACGCCCTGTCAGGCTGGCGGCTCCCCGGGTTTGAAAGAGGAGCGCGTCTCTGAAAACACTATTGCGCTTTCCAGGTTAATTAAACAGCACCCTGGTATTTCAGATGTACGGGTGCGCATTCGGTGGCGTTAAAGAAACGAGCTGACTTAAGATAGTTTGCTTAAGGACGTTCACCCGCAGATCCCCACGCGTTTCCGAAGTGCTGCGGTCGTGATTTTGGTTTTACGGAGGAGGAAAGGACCGAAAGCGCACGAACGTGAAGTGGCGGGCAAGGTCAGTAGTGGGAGTGGATCCAGGGCCTCGGAGCTCTCACCTCGTGACCCCCTCGCTGAATCACATCGTCTCTTCGTCCTACTACCAAATACTCTAAATACATCCATGGCGGACAGTGCTCTCTGTTGTAGAAATCGACTTTCCGCCTTGACGGTAGTGTTACGAGCGTGACTTGGACGTGAAATGATGTTCGTAAGTGCTTTCGCTGACAGTTTTTGGGAGTATCTTAGGTTCCCCGACTTCTCTCAGCTTGCGGGTTTTCAGCCGTGCCACGCTCCGCACAGGACGGTGCAAGGATCAAAGCTTGAAAGTGTTTCGAAGACTTGAAAGTCCTCTGCAGCCGCGGAGCGTGTGGGCTGGTTGCTGCCAGGGAAAGTGGTGTTGTGTGTGTTGGCGAAACCATTCGTTTCTGAAGTGGAATACAGCAAAAATGACAGAAAAATAAATTTTAGAAGTTGGGGGGGGGGGGGGTATGTGGGGGGGGGGGGGGGGGCGGGGAACCATGAAAATGTGCGTTTTTATAATAAAAGCGGTTTCGTCCAGCTCTTCTGAAGCAAAGTAACGGCAGGGGGTTTTTTACATCTTAAAGGTGTAAAACCTGGCTCTTCACAAATACAATGACGAAACGCTTGCCGTGCGCGCGTAGCAAACGGGATTGACTGGAACGCTTGCCGGCCCCTTGCGTTTTGCGCTTCGACTTGCCGTGCTCCGTCTGAGGGGCAGAGCTCTCGCTAAAGGATGGTTGCTTCAGCTTCGGTTCGCAGCTCGAGTATTGCCCGACCGCGGCGCGGGGCGGGTCAAGAGCCCGCCCTTCCACCGGCGGGACGTGTCGGTGTCGTACCTAACTTCCCGCTTAAAGAATAATTCAAACTAGTGGTCAGGGTGTCGGGGACACCCATTCCCCC